GGTAAATTTGGGGGGGGGTGTTTCTCGGTAGTGTATGCAACTCAACATGACGTTCAGCACCTGTTGAGTATCTACTAAGAGCCAGGAGACACACCCTTGACTGGAAAGTAGGATCTAGAATCTGTTAAGGCAGGAGTGGAAACCTTGGGGGACTTTTTTCCCTTTTTTTCCTTGAACAACTATTTCATTCTCAAGAAAGCGATTTGGTAGAGGTCCACCCATGCTAACTACCACAGTATTAGAGCGGAAGGTTGTTTCTCAGAAGGCTGTGTGTGGGGCAGACAGCAAGCCACCGGTACTTTCGGAAAAGAGGGCTGATGTGTATTCGGGCGATGAAAGGGCGCGAAAGGAATCCTTGGAAGGTTACACACTATGCCACATGCTAACTCTGGTGCTTTCTCTCATCAAAGCTTCCAGCTCCCTCTAGGTAGGTAAGCCATTTACCTTTGAAAATGAGTTTGCTAAAAGTAGATAGAAAAATCTGAAGAGATAAATCTTTTCTCAAGCATCTTTGGGCATTTTCAGTAGAAAAATCTGAAGAGATAAATCTTTTCTCAAGCATCTTTGGGCATTTTCAGTATTTTTTTTCCAGGCAAAAATTTTCAAGGAGCCAAGTATGTGTCTCCAATTGGAATTAGGTGCTATTAATAATTCAGAGGCGAAAGAAGATTTGAAAACCGGTATATTTCTTTATGGACTGAATGGTGTCATTCTCCCTGCCGCCCCCACCCCACTCCACCCAATATGGGTCAAATTTGTTGGGTGATGATTGTCAGGGTTTAGCAGCTATGTGATGAGGTAATCACTCCCCCTGACTCCTCCCCACACACGACGTGACCTAATGTGATCAGCCACCCAGTTGTAAGGGCAGGATGAATCACTCTTACTTAGGTCACTGCTTTGATAGAGTATAAGGGGAGTTTGCCAGGCGTGTGGTCTGTATCATCTTTATCTTACAAGAGATAAAAGGGAGAGAAGCAGGAGCAGAGAAGGAATCACCTCTTTAGCACCCCGAAAGAGGCAGCAGTGGAGCGCATCTTTGGGGCCCTGGTCTTCGCAGCAAGAACTTCCTAGACCCAGGAGAACATTGATGCCAAGACACACAGAGAGATCTCCAAGGAAGGCACGGCCCCCAGATGCTTACCAAAGCCAGGCCCTTTCTGCAGCGTGACTGAGTGAAAGCTGGGAGCTGGCACCCTGAATTCGGACTCACAGGCTCCCAATACGGTGAGAATAAACTTCTGTCCATCACAGACGTCCACTTGGGGGTTATTTCTGTGCCAGCAGCACGAGACAACTAAGGCTTTCTCAGAATCAGGCAATTATATCAATCATAAATGACTACATCAATACAAGGACCTGCCTTCAGTTTCTCCCGCAAAGCTAGCCTGAGGAAAGGAAAATATTTACAACGTTCTCACAAGGTTTTTATAGCACACATTTTCTTGGTCCCTCATCCACCTTCCTCTGTCCCCATGCAACCACAGATGCAGAGATCAAGAGTTGTCACAGTAGCTTTCTTACCTGTCTCGTGAATGCCATCTATCCGTTTTCTTCAGTCAAGAAGCTTAAGATTAATTTATTCTATGATAGGCTAAACGGATAATTTATCAGTGGAACAGTAGGCACGTAAGGGTGCAGAAATTTGGCCAAGCCTCAAAGGACTGCTGGGGCTAAGCGCCGACAAAGTCTCCCTCCTCCCATCCTCTCCCCACTGCTAGGACTGGGCAGGCGGAGCCTCGGGCCTCTGCTCAAACACAGCTGCACACCTTCAATCACCTTCCAGAAAAACAGCAGCAACCATCCACCTCCACACCCTCCGGAGGCGGAGCCTTCCTGGGGTCACCAGTCCCCATCCCCCACTCAGAACAGGCTCTGTATTTTCAGAAAAGCTTATAGAACACTGTCATCGAGGAAGGCACCACAGTTACCTAGCACATAACCATAGTCTGAACACCAAAAAGAAATGGAATATCAGTGCATAGGCCCATGGCCACAGCATTTACATGAACAAATAAAAAATCCCTCCGTGAAATAAAAATAGACTAGTTTGGTGCTTACCAAAATAAACAAGTGAAATAATGAAATTAACCCAAAGTAATAGCTTGCATTCCAGTTCTACAGATTGTTGTAAACACATAACTGGTTGGCCCGAAGCTGTGTATATTCAGTGCAAAATGAGAGGAGATCGGGATGTTCTCTAGTTAGGATCTCAAGCAGCCAAACCAGATAATCTGGTTTAAAGAAAAAATCCAATGGGCCTGAATAATAAATCTCTCAATGAATATTTAAAATTCTGACTGGGCTAAATTTATAGTGTACAGAGCACCATCGTGTTTAAAAGGCAATGCCCGACTCCAGGAATTTACAATCTGGTTTTACTACCTATGTGGCTCAAATTAAACAAATAACTGCCAAAGGTAGACTTCACTTTGCTCTGTGGGATTACTGCCTGAAAACATTAAGATCTATTTTGTGGGAATGCTCGGGATGAAATAAAACGTTAAATTTCCTGGAGGAAGTATACCCCAGGTCTCATGTTCTAAAGTCAGGCCGCCCAAGTCCTGATCCCACCAGTTATTAGCTGTGTGGCACTGGATGCATTACTTAGTTTCTCTTGCCATGACTGACTTTCACATTTGAAAATTAGCATCATAATAATGCCCACCTTGTAGAATTTACTGGGACAATCATTCTATTGTCCAGGTAAATCTCTGTTAGTGCTCTCGTCCCTCCACTCCCTCTGGATCTTCTCCTCTACTTAAGATGACAGTCTCGGGGAAACAAAGTTATCCCTTAAGAACTAAGAGGGAAAGGAGGGGCCCATTGCTCCAGCTGATGGTTCATTCCACAGCCAGCGCAGGCTCCTGTTAGTTTGCGGGTGTAAGGCTCCTGAAGCCAACACTCACTGCCTTGGAGTCAGTGCTGACGCATAGTGGCCCCCCTGTGGGTTTCTGGGGCTCTAACTGTTTAGGGGAGTAGAAAAGCCCAGTCTTTCCACCAAGGAGCTGTGGGTGGTTTCGAACTGTCGACAATTCAGATTGCAACCCAACTCATAATCACTACACCACCAGAGCTCCTCCTTGATCTGGTAGGTGCTAAAAAAATCATGAAATTGCATTATCTTTTTTTTAAAAAACACTGATAAAACCTGATGGGTTTTCTCCATGAATGCCAGTTGTGATTTGCACGGCCAGCTGCCATGATGTTTTCGTTGCCTGACAGTAAAGCTAAACAGGATGAAGTCAGTGAATTAATGTGACTTTAGACTTTGTAACACTGTCACCTTCCTTCGCTTGCTATTTTGTAGCCTTCAAGGGGACTTTCAGCCACTCTTGCCTCCCATGCATAAATGCATGAGCCTATTTTCTGTTTGCCAGTTCATATATTAAAAAAATGAAGGCATTCAGCAACAGATGAAGAGTTAAAAAACAAAACAAAAAAGCAGCCGAGGCAAAGTCTTATCTGGTCCCTCACTGTTTTACACAAGGGACCTGTGGAAGAAAGGATAAAGGACACCAAGAATCACATCTCTCTGGCTGGGGAGGTTGTGTTTCTGGTTGCACTGTAAAGTCAAATCTCACAATCTTTTAGGATCATCCAGTCTCCGATCTCCCAGACTGAGGCAGATCCTTGAAAACTGGTGACGATAGCACTTGGGACCATTGTAATCGCTCCACGGAGACCCATAACTCATGCCTTGCTCATAACTCTGGGCACTGAGCTATATCGGTTTTGAATAAGTGACTTATCACTGATGCTAACCAGGGGCGATTAGCTAGAACTGAGGATGTACAGCCTCGCATGAAGAATGCAGGGCCTCAAGTGTGCCAATCCAGAAGAAAAGCCCCCAGCTAGCACCATCTTGAAGACCCAAGAGGTCATACCAACTGTTAATACCGAACTATAGGCACGGTGCCCACATCAGGTTTTAATGATAAATGTTTGCTCAAAGTATGTCTATTCAAGAAGTATTCATCAACTGGAGGGGGTGGGGCGTAAATCACACCCAATTCACTAGTGTCTGCTTCCATACAAAGTAACTGCATCCCAGCAAGTCGCTTGTCTGGTTTGATGGGGCTACTTGGAGCAAAATGGATATGCCTAGCAAAGTTTGACCCTACCGCCAAGAATAAACACACATATAACTGGAGGGGGTGGGGCGTAAATCACACCCAATTCACTAGTGTCTGCTTCCATACAAAGTAATTGCATCCCAGCAAGTCGCTTGTCTGGTTTGATGGGGCTACTTGGAGCAAAATGGATATGCCTAGCAAAGTTTGACCCTACCGCCAAGAATAAACACACAATGAACAAAACTCATTGGGGGTGTGGGGAGGATGCTATCAAAGTCTTATGACATCCTACAAGTTTAAGCCACAAAATGCGCATATACCCTCAGTCCATTCAAACACCAGTTCAGAATTTTTACAAGTGGCTGGTACTCATTTGTTCCCGCACTCACATCCACTACAGGAGGGAAACATTCTCCATCCGCTACATACAAGGTGGTACCTGAGGTTTCCCCGCCCCCCCACTCCCCCCCAAACAGTAAAGTGCTCCCCAGACGAGAGAAGACGGAGGGCAAAAGTCCGCGCGGCCGTCTAAGAGGCTGCGCCCTGGGACGGCTTTTCCCCGGGCTGCAGGGCGGCGGCGGCCGCGCCGGGCGAGCGGGCGGGCGAGCGCTGAGCCAGGGCCGCCTCCGCTGCGCCCTCACTGCGTGCTGCTCCCTCCGGAAACTTGCCGAGAGCATGAGCCCTGGGGCTTGGGGACTAGACGTCCTCCTGCCTGCTTCCACGCCAACCAAAGTGACTTGCAATCTTTTCAGTACTCTCCGACGCACAGAAAGGGCCCCTTCGGGGGCAGTGCCGCCGCAGTGAGACCGAGAGACAGAAAGGCAGAGAGAGACAGAGCGAGAGACAGAGACAGAGACAAGCACAACAAACACCAACACGGGTAAGCAAGCACCGCCTAACGCGTAAAAGGTTAACCTTTCTTACCTTATACTTCATTTCGGCGGTGGTGCGTTGAGCCGTTTTCCTAAACTAATTGGACAGCAGTAAGGATGGGACTGTCCGTCCCTCCATTGAGGGCGAAATGAAGCGAAAACGCGTCGGGTCCCTGGCTGCAGGCTGGCTCGTCCGGCCGCCGCCGCAGCCCAGCCGCGCGCACACAATTCAATCGCCAGCGCGTCTGAGCTCACTGTTTTGACCCGGGCTGCCAGAGTCCGGGCTCATTTGCATACCGCCCCGCCATTGGCTGGTGGGGCAAGGTAATGTTGGTGCCCCGCCCACCGCTTAACTTTCTGAAAACTCCTGACAAAGTACTTGTAATGCCATGATGCCTCTTTAGGTTGTGAAAAGAGTCGGAAAATAACGAAAGGGGAGAACCTTCCCCAAACGTAACCACCCCCTCCACTCTGTGAAAAGGAAAGGGAAAAAGCAGCAGCAGCGACAACAATCACAAAAAAAACTCAAAAAATCCAGGAAAAGAGAATGCATTCCTTCTAAGACGAACCTACATTTTAAAGCAAACGCTTCACAAACCAGCCTGCCGGTCCTGCTTCCTGTGCCCTAGCAACTCCTTCGGAACCCATCCGTTTCCAAGCCAGGCACCTCGCGAGCTCCGGGAACAAAAGGCTTTCTGTCTGCGGCCCCCTTTTGACGAGCCACCCCTGCTGCTATCTCTCTCTCTTTTGGGTGGCTGTTTGCTGTTTTTGTTCTTGCCACTGTTCAAAGTGCCTCCACCGTCAATCGGCAGCCAGTGGGAACACAATCCTCCCTCAGTGCGGAGGCGCTCACCACTGCGTCCCCGGCCGGTTCTCACGAGGGCCTCGCAAGAGCGCAGGGTCACACACTCTCGGGGACCACGACCGGCTGGCCCAGGATAAAGGTTCGCTGTGACCTCTCGGGCGGCGGGCCGGTGCATGCACTATACATCACCGCTGCCCACTGCAGGCTGCCTGCTTTGATGGCGGGGTCTTTCTAGCTCCAGCTTTGAACACTGCAGTTTGGGGGGGGGGGGGGGCGGGGAGGTTGTTCCTTCTCCTTCCCTGCTGACCTCTCTCCTGAAGATGACCCATTAACCCATCAACACTTATTATCCAGGGAACAAAAAAAGGCCCACTGTGAGATGAGCCTGGTTTAAAAGCCCTGTCTCTCCAGCGAAGCAGAGACCATTAGGCTCAGTTTGGTGATTTCTATAGCGTTAGGAAGTCTTCAAACGGACAGAAGGGCTAGCAGGACATTTCTTCTCACTGGCCTCGGGATTGCGCCTTGGTGAAGCCAGTCAATGGCGCTCCGGGATTTTAAACTACTACATGATTTGGATGGTAAAATCAGTCCTTACTCTTCCTGATGGAGTTAGAGTACTATCAGTCCTCCACCCCACACCCCAAATCCCCGGTGGATTAAAACTCTGCTTTTACCATTTAAACAAAAAAGAAAGAAAGAGGACAAGAGGAGAACGAGTGGCTACCAGATATAGGGCTTTGGTTGAGGTCACAGACAAACGTGACACTGGTTTCCGGGACACGGCCAGCCCAGCCCTGATGGTGTTGACACATGCCTTGGGGCCTTGCTTCCTGGGCGGCTAGTGGCCGCTGCACCACTTGTCTTGCTCTTAGCCAGTTGAGACTTGTAGCATATTGTGTCGCGAGCATCTTCCGCATCATTTTGCAGGACTCCTGTAACACTCAGTGACGGTCTTTTATTTTGTGGACTCCACCACTCGTCTGTCAGCGTATCATACTGTGGTGGCTTTTGTGCTGCTGTGATGCCGAAAGCTATGTCACTGGTATTTCTGGGTCACCCAAGGAGGATGGGTTTCAGTGGAGCTTCTAGACGAAGAATAGTTTATGAAGAAGGAGTAGGCTGTCCACTTTGGAGGGATTAGCCCCCCCCCCAAACGTTATGAATAGCAGCAGAGCATTATCAGATAGCATGCCAGAAGATGAGTCCGTCAGATTGGAAGGCGCTCAAAGTAAAACTGCGCAAGAGCCGCCTTTTCAAAGTAGAGTTGATCACAACGAGGGAAGCTTTTGGAGAGAGCTCTGCCGCTGAGCCACCACTGCCTCAGCAGAGTGTGTTGGAGTAAAGCTTTGGGGACCTTCGTTTGCTGACGAGGCATGACTTAAAACGAGAAGAAACAGCTGTAACCCATCCAGTAATAATCAGAATGTAGAACGAAGTATCAATCTACAAAAACTGGAAGTTGTCAAAAATAAAATGGCATGCCTAAAGATCACCATCCCAGACACTACTAGGATGAAATGGACTGGTATTAGCCATTTTGAACCTGACAACCACATGTTTTATTATACCAGGAATCACACAATCTAGAGAATTTGTGTCACCTTTAACATCAAAAAGGATGTCTCAAGATCTAGCTTAAAGTACAGTGTTGCCTGTGATAGGATAATATTTATACATATACTGGGAGATCCAGTTAAAACAACTCTTAGCCAAATGTACCCACCAATCTCTAAAGTTAGTAATAAAAAGAATTGAATAATTCGACCAACTTCCATCATCTGAAATTGATCAAACATATAAAAGAAAGATGCACTGATAATGATTGGCGATTGGAATGTGAAATTTGGAATAAAAGAGGAAGGAACAGTAATTGGAAAATATGGCCTTGGTGATGGAAATAAAACTAGATATCACACAAAACAATTTTCCAGGACCAATAACTTCTTCATTGCAAATACTATTTTTCAACAATAAGCAGTGACTTCGCCAGAGTGAATACCCAGGAATTAAATTGACTACATGTGTGGGAAGCTCAATATCATGTGGAAAAGCTCAATATCATCAGCCAAAACAAGGCTGGGAACCATTAATTGCTCATATGTAAATTCAGGTTGAAGTTGAAGAATATTAAAACAAGTCCACAAGAATCGAACAAGACCTTGAGTATATCCCATCTGAATTTCAAGACCATCTCAGTAATGGACTTGACTAATTGAACACTAATAAAAGAAGGCCTGATGAGCAATGGGATGACATCAAGATCATGATACAAGAATTGAGCAAAATGTCTTTTAAAAGACAGGAAAGAAAAGAATCAAAGAGGATGTCAGAATTGGCTAAATCTAATGGAAGAAATGAAGTAACAGAACTGAGAAGACAAAGTAAAGTATTATAAGGTGAAAATACCTGGAGTTAGGATACTAAATAGGATGAACCTGTTCAACATATCTTAAACTGAAAGAACTGAAGAGAAAATTGAAGCTTGGAGTTTCAATCTTGAAAGATTCTATGGGCAAAATGTTGAATGATGCAAGGAGCATCAAAAGAAGATGGAGAGAATACAGAGTCATTTTACCAAAAAAAATTGGTTAGCTAGCATTCAACCATTTCAAGAGGTAACATAGGATTAAGAACCAATGGTACTGATGGAAGAAATCCAAGTTGAACTAAAAGCATTAGCAAAAAACAGGGCTCCAGGAATTGAAACATCTATTCAACTAACTGATGAAACACTGAAAGCACTCACCTGTTATATTAAAAAATTTGGAAGAGAGCTGATTGGCCAACTGACTGGAAGAGACCCACATTTGTGTCCATTATCAAAGAAAGATGATTCAACAGAGTATGGAAATTATAGGACCAATTATTAATGTCACATACAATTAAAATTTTGCCGAGGATCAATCAACAACAGTTGCAACAGTACATCAATAGGGAGCTGTCATAAATTCAAGCCAGATTCAGAAGAAGATGTGGAACAAGGGATATCATTGCTGACATCATGGATTTTGGTTGAAAGCAGAGAATACTAGAAAGATGCTGACTTGCGTTCTATTGACTATGCAAAGGCATTTGACTGTGTGGCTCAAACCAAACTATGGATAGCCTTGAGAAGAATGGGAATTTCAGAACACTTGATTATGCTCATGCAGAACCTATACATGGAACAAGGTGCAGTTATTCCAACAGAATAAGGTTTAACCATCAGGAAAGACGGTATCAGGATTGTATCGTCCTGCCACATTTATTCAAGCTAGATGCTGTGCAGATAACTAGAGAAGCTGGATTATATGAAGAAGATTGTGGCATCAGGATTGGAAGGAAGCTGGGATGTTCAGAGGACACAACCTCAACTGCTGAAAACAAGTGAATCACTTGCTGATGACGATCAAAGACTGCGGCCTTCCATGGCAACTGCAACTCAAAACCCGGACCTCTGGACCAATAGATCCCATCATGGTAAGTGGAGGAAAGGTTGAAGTTGTCAACGATTTGATCTTACTTGGATCGATAGCCAGTCATCATGGAAGCCGCACTCATGACATCAATGACATATTGCATTTGGTAAATCTACTGCACAAGACCTACTTAAAGGGTTGAAGAACAAAAATGTCACTCTGAGGATTGGCGTGCACTTGACCCACGGTAGGGCATTTTCAAATACATGTGAAAGATGCACATTGGATAAGCAAGACCGAAGTGGAATCTGTGAATTGTGGTGTTGGTAAAGAGTAATGACGGCACCTTGGGCTGCCAGTAGAACAAACAAATCTCGTATGTTTTAGACATGTTAACAGGAGAAAGAAGAACAGTCCTTGAAAGCAGACGTCCTGCTTGGTAAAGTAGAAGGTCCGTGAAAAGAAGAAGAGGAGCCAGGAGATGGAGTGACACAGCAGCTGAACGATGGGCTCAAACATAACAATGAAGGTGCGGATGGCTGGATTTGGGGGTCTGTCCTTCTGTGTCGGTTGCTGTGTGTTGCAACCGACATGATGGCACCTCACGGCAGCAGCCTCTTGCAAACTGAAAAAAGTAATGCATTGAATTACATATCGAATCACTCAAGCAGTTAGTTGCCTTTGAGTGTGGGCATGTATGTCAGAGGAGTGTTGTGTTCCCGAGGGCTTTCATTGGCAGGTTTTTTTAATTTGGAATTGACCACCCAGCTTTTCTTCTGAGATGTCTCTGGATAGACTTGAATCATCAACTTTTTGGTTTGTAACTGAGTGTGTTAATAATCCCTTGGACTGCCACAGACTTAAATCCAGTGATGTGTGCTCAATTTTTACAGTTAATACTTGCTTGCCCCAGAGGACTTAGAAACGTTAACTTAGTAGTGACAGTTTAAGAAAAATAAGAAACACTTAATAAAG